TGTCATATCATTACTAAATCTGATGATTATTTTCACTGTTTTTGGCCTAAATGTCAATTCAAGACAAAGACAAAACAAAATTTGACTCAACATCAATTAATTCATTCAGAAATAAAACAATTTAAATGTCAATTTACTAATTGTGCCAAAATTTTTACGTCATATAACGGTTTGAGATTTCATAAAAATAGCTTTCATTTAAATGTGAGATTTATTTGTGATTTCAATGAATGCCTCAAAAGTTTTAAACGAAAAGGAGATTTATTTCAACACAAAAGTTGTGTTCATTTGAATGAAAAGAGATTCAAATGTAATGAAGAAAATTGCAATAAAGGTTTTGCTTTAAAATCAAAATTATATGAACACAAACGCATACATTCGGGAGAAAAACCATTTGTTTGTGATTTCAATGATTGTAACAAAGCTTTTACCGCAAAAAATTCTTTATCTCAACACAAAAGTACAATTCATTTGAATGAAAAGAAATTCAAATGTGATTTTCCCGATTGTAATCAAGCCTTTAAACAACACAACCATTTAGTCAATCATAAAAATTGCGATCATTTAAATGTGAGATTTATTTGTGATTTCAATGAATGCCACAAAAGTTTTACACGAATAGGAAATTTAATTATAAATATTTACAAAAATACAGTATATATGTAAGGAAAAAAATTGTGACAAAAGATTCGCTAATGAATATCTACTGAATGCACACAAACGCAATCATTCGGGAGAAAAACCATTTGTCTGTGATTTTAACGGATAGGAAATTTAGTTAATCACAAACGTTGTGTTCATTTGAATGAAAGGAAATTCAAATGTAATGAAGAAAATTGTGACAAAAGTTTTGGTAAGAAATCAGATCTAATTCGACACAAACGCATTCATTCGGGAAAAAACCATTGATTTGTAATTTCAATAATAAACTGTTGACTGATTTATTTTGCCACCAAAACGGAAGTCATTTAAATATCCAAAATTTTAAATGCAATTCAAATGATTGTGAAAAACAAATTCTCACTAAATTTTGATTAACATAACACATGAATGCAATTCATTCACACATTAAACCATTCAAATGCACTCAAATTGGTTGCAATCAATCTTTAATGTTAACCAAATGCTAACCAATCAAGCATTCAATCATATTTGTTATATTAATCCATTTATACTGTATATTTGTAAATATTTATAATTAAATTTGGTTATTGTAATTACAGTAAAGTAAATATAAATTATTTCATCGAGTTTCATTATTCCAATCAATTATTATTTGTAGTCAACATAAATTGTTAACTATCTGATGATATTTACATAATTTTATAATTCATTATACGAAAATTTCAATAATTATAAATGTGCAATTTTGATTAAGGCTCATCAATCATGGTTAATCACAAACTTTTCATAATTTATATATTATATAAACAAGTATTTGTTTTATTAAATAGTAGTTATATTTATTGATTTAGCCATAAAATTAATGTTTGTAATTGTTAATGTTTAAATTTATTTGCAATTATTTGTAATTTTAATTAGAGATAAATAAAATCTATATCATGGTTGATTATGTTTTAAATGTGCAATTTATTGTATCGTCCAAACAATGAGTGATTGATTAGACTTCAAACCAATTCATGAGATGGCAATCACAGCGTATGTGAAGCACTGTTTGACTGACATTATAGTCGATAAATAGTTTTGAATATCAACGAGACTTTCAATGAGAGCACCCGTTGTATGGGAACCGGATATTAGACTATATTGTGAGGGAATAACCGTTAGATTGACATTAGGTTTGCATTCAGTTTCACATCATTTTAAATGAAGTCAACATTTGTTTCATTTATTGTTTGAAAATTGGATTCAAATTAATGAGTGTTTCTTTCATTCAATTACTTTAAGTGTTGTTTAGTTTTAGTTCATAGAAAATATTGTTTTAATTTGTGTTTTAAGTTATTTATTAAAATGTCTTCAAATTCATTGAGTGTTTCTATGAATGAAATGATTTGCAAATTAATTGAAATCAAGAGTTTTTGCGAAAAAATAGATAAAATGAAATGTATTTTGTATTCAAATAATAGTGTTTTGTGTGAAGCGATTGGATGTGAAAATAATTACAATATTTCAGTCATTAAAACCATTGATTGCAATTCAATCAAAATCAGTGATAAAATGCTTTCCAAAAAGGATATCATTAATAAAACCAATGATTATTTTTACTGTTTTTCGTCTAATTGTAAATATAAGACATTAAATGAAAAGTATTTAACTCAACATAAATTTCTTCATTCTGAAATAAAACAATTTAAATGTGATTTCAATAATTGTAATAAAAGTTTTCAAAGAAAATCATATTTAAATATACATAAAAATAATGTTCATTTGAATCGTCGTAAAGAACTGCATTGTTTTTGGCCTAAATGTCAATTTAAAACAACATTTAAAAACAATTATATTCAACACAAATTAATTCATTCAGATATCAGACAATATAAATGTGATTTTAATAATTGTAACAAAAGTTTTAAACAAATGGGAAGTTTAATATCACACAAAAATTGGATTCATATGAATAAAAGGTATAAAAGTAATGAATTGATTACTAAATCTAATGAATATATGCACTGTTTATATACTGATTGTGATTACAAGACAACAAATAAACATCATTTAAAACAACACAAAATAATTCATTCAGAAAAACGCGAATTTAAATGTGATTTTTGTGATAAGAGTTATAAACGAAACGAACAATTAGTTCATCACAAAAATGTCATTCATTTAAATAATAAGAAATTTATTTGTGATGTCAATGAATGCAATAAAAAATTTGCTCGAAAGAGAGATTTAGTTCTTCACAAAAGTTGTGTTCATTTGAATGAAAAGCCATTCAAATGTAATGAAGAAAATTGTGGCAAAATGTTTGCTAAAGAATTCCAACTAAAGACACACAAACGCAATCATTCGGGAGAAAAATCATATATTTGTGATTTTATCGGATGTAATGCAAGCTTTAAAAGAGTTTCACATTTATCTCAACACAAAAGTAATGTTCATTTGAATGAAAGGCTAATCAAATGTGATTTTCCCGATTGTAAGCAAACCTTCAAACAAACCAATCATTTGGTCGCTCATAAAAATCGCGTTCATTTAAAACTGAGATTTGTTTGTGATTTCAATGACTGTCACAAAAGTTATACTGAAAAATACAAATTAATTCAACACAAAAACTTTGTTCATTTAAATTCAAATAAATTTAAGTGTAATGAAGAAAATTGCGGCAAAAATTTTATATCGAATTCAGCGCTTAATGTACACAAACGCATCCATTCGGGAGAAAAGCCTTTTGTTTGTGATTTCAAAGATTGTAATAAAAGTTTTCATAAAATGGAATATTTAACAGACCATAAGAGCACTCATTTAACTGTTAAACAATTCAAATGTCATTACAAAGATTGCGGCGGAAGTTATGCCAACAATAGATATCTTCAAAGACATGTTAGATATGTTCACAAAAAATAAATTGATATTAAAATGTAATATCATTTTTAAATTTTTTAAATTCTTTGTATTTACTATTAATGTTTAGATTTATAAATATTGTATTAATGTTTAATAAATTATTGCAATCTTTATGTATAGGTTTTATATAAATGTCATAATTAACACATCATAAAAGCACTCATTTAACTGCTAAACAATTTAAATGTTAAGTCAATTAGTTCGAAAATTGTTTTTATTAAAACATATCTTTTATATCATATTAGAAATTATCACAAAATTTAATTTGAAAATTATTTATTACCAAAAATATAGCAATATTTATATCAATTATTAATGTAATTAAATATTGTAATCTTTTATTGTTTAAATTATTGCATATAAACAATGTTTGAATAAATATTTTTGTGATTTATATTAAAATAAAATTCATTATTGAATTAAATACTTAAGATTAAAATTAATTTAGAAAATTGTGACATTTGTGTGCTTTTAAAATAAAGTGATTTATAAAATGTTGTTTAAATGTTCATGTAGCGATTAATAAAATGTAACTACAGATCCATGTTTGATGTTTTGACTATTATATCACTGGATATCTGTCTAAGTATTTGTTTGTGTTTCAATCAAAATCTCTTCCCTATTATTACGACATTTAATAACAAAACGATGTTATGTTTTGGTGGCTTTGGATCACGTCTTGAGCCGACATTCTTAACCGTAAACCCTATATAAAGACAATATCTTTGAATGACATGATTGAGGCGACGAAAACATCGGACAGTGTTTACCACGGATTGGATGTGAAACGTGTGGACGACTATTATCTACAAAATGTCGACAAAAACAGTTCACTTGAGCTCAAGAAAGCGCTTAACAATTGTTGGCAACAATTATCAAATGTAATTAATTAAATGAAATACAAATTAATTAAATAATTATTTTTTGAATTAAAAATGATTTATATTTTATTGTATGAAATGTATCATTACTTTGCCTCGAAATGAATTTACAAAGTTATTAGAAATTATAAAAGTTATTAGAATTTTTATGTTTGTGAATTCATATTTAAATTATGATAATTGTATTCAAATGTGATTTCAACTTAAGTTTTAAATGTAGTTGGTTTTCACAATTCCTAATACCTGAAAACATGATAACAATATTTGATAAACAGGTTTTCATTATCAATAAAAGCACGTGTTGTAAAGGATATGCATTTGATTTGAGTTTCAGTTCATTTCAAATATATATCTCATTTTATTTTGTATTTAAATTGTGTTTTAATTATTGTTTGAAAATGAGTTCAAAATTAATGAGTGTTTCGTTGATTGAAATGAAGAGTAAATTCAATGCAATGAAGAGTTTGTGTGAAATAATAGACAAAATTCA